ACTAAGGGAGGATAAAAGCTATGGATTCTATTGTGTAAACATCTTAACAAAATTAGTCTTTAATGTGGTGAGCCGGGTGTAAAAGGTACGCCCATATTTGGTGTCATCAAGGTTTACCAGCAGAAATACTATTGGACTGAATCAAACTGCCAGCTTTCCTTTAGATTCAAAGGAGGATTTATTTTTGCCATTGATATCTCTGAAGAGGCAAAAAGATGTATTGAAGAAGAGATGGTGGCCACTGAAGCCATACTTAAACAAAATGAGAAGACATCCAGTAATTGTAGCTGCCAGTACTAAGGAAGACCTTAAATCCAAAAAAGTAATGACACTCGTAAGTGAATGGGCTTCAAAAAAGTAAAGTAACTCTGATACAAACAAGTTCCACAGAAAACTTCGATATTACAGAGGCATTTTGGCTATTAGCTACAAAAAATTAATAAAGAATCAGTTCCTGCCACTATATTCCGTGTATCCCAAATATGTTGGTGTTTAAATGTATGGCATGTAGTTATAGATAAACATACTTTACAATAAGTTTAGTGATATAGTGGAGTTCACTGCAGCCGCTCAATTTTCAATATCACTACCCATGGGTAGTGCAAGCATAATTCTTACAGCCCTGATAAAGATCATTAACATAAATGTTTATTTTTATTAGGAGAGAAATTCCAAAATTAGAATCCCCACAAGTACCTTCAATGGGCTGCAATAGAATGAGAGGGTGTTCACTTCCACCTGTACCAGTAGATCACTACACAAAGATGGATGCCTTCTCCGCCAGAAACATAATTACTCTAAAAATGATGTCTTGCAGCAAATAAAAATGGTATAAGAAATTTCTTTAAAGAAAGGGAATTCCGGTAGGGTGCGGTTTGGCTGAGTAATTGTAATTCTAACGATTGATTTAGTCAATGGTTAAAACTAATTCTAATTCAAATGATTACATTGCCAATCATCAAGTAATTGCAATCATAATGATTAATGACTCTAAATAATTACAACAACCCTGATTGTAATATGGGCTTTGGTTCCTGTTTCTAAAGTTCTACTACCATAATAAATCCTCCATTTTAATAAGTCTCATATAAAAGCTTCGTTGAATGCTTTTTCTATTTATAGTAGGAAAGTTGGAAGTTAATGAATACTGTTTATTTTAGTTTTATCTCAAAGTGATGCATTTGTTTTTAACAGGAGCAACGCCTGCAGACACTGTCAGGAATTTTGAATTGTTTCTAAGGGATGCCGTCCTTGGCATCGCAGGAGGACCTACTCCATTAGTGTTCGTAAAGGGCAATCCCTTTTTAAGAGCCTATCATAAATTGAGGCAGGCTGAACTCTCTGCTGTTATCAACTTTTTTACCGTAAAAGAAGAATGGGCAGAAGAATGCTGGCGATGCAGCTTATCAGCTGGAACGTTCATTACAATATCAAAAGATGGTGTTGGATCGTGCACCATGATTCCAGTTAATGCAGGACCTTTTAGTAAGTCTATAGACAAAGTTTTGTAATTTACTTCTACATGTACATCCAGCCTCATCTCCAGGCAGGGAGAGCCTAGTATCAGTTGTTTGCACACCTCAGTCTGGCTATGTGTCTTTGTTGTGCAAACCCTGTGTGACGGAGACAGGGCCAGACTAGCGCATCTGTGAAGTAAATAAATGCATTAGCAACATCAGACATATACATGTACTGCTGATATAGGTACATGTACATCTAAAATATTAACTTTTAAAATTAAGTCAATGGAATCCGCGGTAATTGTAATGGTAATTGTCACAGGCCTACATGTATGATACTGACTCACTAATTGAGTGTAGCACAGGTACAAATACATGTGCATGAATGCCATTGCCACTATGTCTCAAATAAACAAGTTATTAGAGCCATTACCATTACTGAAAATCATTACTTTTGCAAAAAATTTGAATTAACACTACAATTCATGGCTATGCACCTGTCTTTCTTCCTACCCTTTTTCTTTCTTTAGTGCCTCATTCTTGCAATTTACCTCTATCTTTCAATGGGCCATGATACCACTGATATCATCACATAATGAGTCTTACATAATTAAAGTAAGCTTTAGTACATATTTCACTTGTTATGTTTCTTTATGTGGTTTTAGGACAAAGGCATCAAGACAACACTAAGACTAAAAACTTATCTATTAAATTATTTTTTTTTTTAATAATTATTATTGTTCAAACATTTGGCACTGTGCAGCAAATGACCTTCAGTAAGCAACACGCAGCATGAAAGTGCAAATGAACTGTTGCACCATACATTGTTGTATTGTTGTATGTTAATTTTTGATTTAAATTGCCAAAAAATATTTTTAAATATAGTTATATGCTACGGCTATGCAGCGAAGGCATGCAATATGAAGCAGTTCATGAGGCAAGGTCCTTTAACTTGATCAACTCCAAAGATCAGAGATTTAGCAATACATAAGTTGCATTATGATCAATAATTTTTTTCGAGTACATGTATGTTAGCAGTGCAATTCTGACTGCTGTCTGGTATCAGAAGGTAGGCATGCATAATTACTTGTTTTGAAAAATAAAAGTACTAATATTGAAAGAACAACTACAGAGATAGTCAGCTAAACATACTTCTATCGCTGTTTGAAAGTTTATTGAAGATCATTGAAGAGTTGTCAAATATGATACCTTATTTGGAGAACTGGATGCTTGATATAGCTGAAGTGAAAAGTAAAGAAGACATATCAAGCAGAACTTACGACTCACTGCACACTTCCTTTTCTTACTCCGTCGCAACATGGAATTTATGAATATTGTGATCAACGAAATGTGAAGATGACATGACTTGTGATTTTAACAAGCTATGTATCATGATTAATGAAAAATTAATTATTAAATAAATTATTTTTTAACTTAATTTTTGTGCTCTAGCTTAAGCCTTAAATATGCATTGTTGTAGTTACTCAAATTAGGTATCATCTATCATGCCCATGCAACCTGCACATTCAATGACTATAGTCACTGCTAATGCAGCATCAGGTGGCCTGCAGTCTGGGGACCAAATCAGATCATGCTCTGTCTTTGGTCTGAATATTATCATAATCTATCTTGGTAAAATTTTCAAATTATCATGTAATAGTATTAATTGGATGGGGCTTTCTTCTTTGTGTCCTTCTCTTCTTATAAATTTTCTTTGAAAAGTTCTTTGGTTCTTCTTTGCTGAATCTGATGTAATGGTTAATTCAAGAAAGTGGCAGTTTAAAGGAAACAGTCTGGATGCCTGGCCTGAAAGTTTCCTGTTGGTAATAAAGACATCAAAAGGTTTAATGCCTATGTTGATTGCTTGCAGAATTTGGGCTGGACCATTGGTAAGGCAAAATTTGTAAAATATAATAGTAAAGGAGAAGAATTCACTTAATATTGTTTTCATAATGAGTAATAGTTCAAGCAAGGGTGGTGCATTATCAATAATATAGAAGGTGATGATAAAAAAAACCATTCACTGCCAACAATGGGAGATGCAGCTATTAATTTGGCTGGAGTGTTGATAAGGCAAAATTGTAAAATATTAGAATAAAACAAATAAATTCAAAATTGGAGATGTAGCAACAACTAGAGGCCTGTAGTATAGTAAAGGACGTCCCTTTATCAACTAGAGACCTTTAGTGTGAGAAAGTCTGAGTTAAAATATTTCAAAGTACTTTTATAGTCAATAAGTATTATTCCTTATGAAGAAAATTCTTTATCAAATTAGTAGCAGCATCAAGAAAAGGTGCTTGAATTCATTCCTAAAGAATGTCCCTAATCTTAATATTGCAATTCAAAAACTGTCATTGATAGAAAAGGTGAAAAAGTCTGGAAAGCACTATTCACTCAAAAAAACTATCAACACAATTAATTACAACACAAAAAGTGTCAAAAATGATGTAGATTCAAAGGTTGCAAGAGCTTATTTGACAAAAAAGGCCAACAAAGAGTTGTAGGACATATAACATTATTTTAAATTTGACTACGTGTATTTAAATTGGCAAGTGCATGCAGACACATGCAGATCAACAGGAAGAGAATGATAAAGTTATAGTAATTGATGAAGCAAGGGAGGTGCTAGGAATGCCATCTATTAAAGTTACTGAGAAGAGAGAACAGCAAGAGAAGGAAGAATCTGATGAGGAAGCTGAGGTACACGTACATGTACCTATATTAAAGCTAAGAGAGTGGTGTGGATTGAAAGGGAAAAGCAGGCATTGAAGACCCTTTTAGTGGACAGTTTGAGAATGAAGCCATGTGGTCAGCCTTGAGGAGCCTAGGGGTCACCCTTTCTGTGTATCCCCTGGAGATGGCACTACCCTATCCTCAATCTCCCTGGTAGGTGCTGCTGCTGTTCGTGTAACAAAAAATGGTGTGTTCTCAAGTTCTTGTTATTGCACACAAGTGGGACAGGTCTGCAGGAACCGTGTTCCATGTTTTCACAGGAGGTGCAAGAACCTCCCTAAGCCTGAGAGTTCCTCATCCCACTGGGGCCTCTGGGACTGTGGACTTGGCAGCTTCTTGGGGTAGTACATCAGGAACAGCTCCTCTGGACCCTTTTCCAGGCTGGCCAGCAGATGTCCTTACCACTCCCCCTTAGCATTAGCTTCGGGCCTACCCCCTACACCAGGGAAAGCAATAGAGAAGATCTCAAAAGGTTCCTTCATTGAATTCAAGGAGCTCCTTGTGGATAAAGTGGCACTGGTATCTCAATTGAGAGAGCTAGGAGGGGGGGTATCTTCTGCTAGTGCTTGTTCCCACTTGAGAGGGGTTACAGTCTGGGGGAGAGAAAGCTATATAGGGAGGCCATATCTCTTCTGTGGTTAATTTTTTCACAATCTTTGCTCTACAAGAACTGCTCATGCAGTTTTACTTATTTTAGTGAAATCATAAAATACATTACATATAATGATGATTATAGCAATAAATGGTAAATGCTTATCATAGCATAGTAGTACATTTGCCTGCAGAAGATTCTGAAGATCAAAATCATACAGGAGGTAACTCGGGGTAGGAATCTCTTTCTCCACTCTGTTGGCTGGCTATGTGTGACATTGTTGCATTCAAATAGAAAACTTGCTGTATTCAGTAAATAATCCACCCCTTTTAACTGCCTAGTATGTTCCAAATCACTAAACTTCAGGAGGTAGAGCAACGCTCGCCAATCTTCTCCTGCAGACGAATCTCTGTAATTTTGATGTGAATGTCCCTTGTTCTCTTTTCACTTCTTCACTTAGGTATCTTAATATCAGAAATATAAATTAAATTTTTGGAAATAGCTAACAACAACAATCAATTACACAGGGTTTAACTACGAATAAGAAGTCAGACTCTGAATTAGAAAAGAAACTGCCAATACTTGATTTTTTGATATATTACAAAAAGAAGTAAAAAACAATAGACCTAATTTGCAAATAAAATTCTTTAAAAATCTCCAAAATAAGGACAAGATTTATCATAGAGAGACTCCCTAATTGACCAGTGGAAATACAAACTTTCTGAAATTGAGACTAAACCATTGAACAAAAGTGAAAGCAAAGCCTGAAATAATACTTGGACAACAGACACATTCCGACCATTTAGTGCAGTGGCAACATGGGAGAGGAGGAGCCCCTCAACCCACCAAAGCAGGAAGGACCCATTCGTATCTTCTGGTCAAAGAACCACAAGAAATATAGTAACGACTATTGCAAGCACACAAAATGTCATTACCAACACGTCTGTAGCTCCTGTTCCAGTCTAGATCATGTAGCATGGGCTTGCCCCCAGTACTGCATTAACCTTGTATGAAGCAATCTGATTTATCAATTTCAAACAGGTCATGGTAGAACAATTAAAAAGGTAGTCTTGCCATGCCCCCTCCTCTGCAAATAGCAAAAAGGCATGGCAAGACTATTTAAAAGGAATATTTATTACAATAATTTCTTCATATCATCATAAAAACATGATATCTACTCATCACAAATTAATTTTATTTATAATAAAATGAGTATACTGTATTTCCTTAAATTCCTTTTGCTTACAAATTCTATCTACCTACTGAATTGTATCAGCATTATTAGTATAATAATTCATTAAGAATGAAATAACATTATCACCACATATATTGTATATAGGATTAAAATTAGAAGCGAAATATAATATCTCATGTCCATGGCATGGAGTTTAAAATTTTGATGATTAATAAAAATATATTGATTTCTTGTATCTTTATAAATACTTCCTCCTTTTGAGTCCATTGCTTGTTGTTGATGCTGACAAGAATGAGCGAGTAATGGTCGCCTCTCTCTTCAAATAGCTGAGTAATCTGTTGCTCTCTGTCCCTGTCCCTCTCAAGCAGTTCAGCTCTGAAAATAATATAATAAATAAGTATTATTTAAAAAATTAGAAATAGTGTTATATCATTCGAAGAAGAGGAAATTAGATTCGCCTGATTCAAAGAGGAAGGGGAAGATCAAATCTTGTTCGATTCCTTACCAAATGAGCTAATACAACATTCTTTACTTCCCTACACAACATCAATAACTGTAGTAATTATCTCAATTGAAAACAACTAATCATATGGCTACCAACAAAAGAAAAATGAAGCCAACGCCAGCTGAAGAGCCTCCTTCTCCTTCAAGAGTTAATAATAGCAAGGGAATTTCCCCGTCCTGCTCTGCATGGGGGCTAGACCAGTTCTTGCCTTCCTGCAGGTCAATCTCTTTCATTTGTATCATTTTATTTTGTTTCTCTCTTCTACTGTCTTTGTCCTGTAAAACTTTATTAAATTAAATTAAAAAATTTAATATGTGGTGTATAATTAATAGAATCTGTTTTTGTCAGAGCAGCTATGTTGAACTTAAACTATTGACTGTCCTTGAATACTATTATTCCAAGTACTGATCTCAAATCTGTACTGTAATTCCAATACTAAAGTGGACATAACTTGATTACAAACAATCTGTGTGATCAGTGTGCTTTTAATTAGCAACTGATATTCATGTAGTACCAGTGGATAGAATAAAAGGAAATAAAGAAACTAATCACACTGGCAATAGTTAAGGTTGGTTTACAATATTACACTAGGCCTGACGTTGTGTTGATGCTGGAGTTAAATTTATGTTCAACTCTAGCATAAAGCATGAGTCACAGGTGAAATCCCACATGCTTTTGATGACAATACACTGGCCTAGTGTCATATTGTAAACCAGCCTTTAATAGTGTTCACAATAGAGTG